TAATTTGGTTACCCATTATTATGAAAACATGTCAAATTTTTGATAATTGACAATGACTTTAAAAAAAAATATTATTATTAGGTGATTGATTATTAATAAACATTTTTTTGTAAAAAAAAACACATTAACCTAATACTCGTGAATTAAATAAAAACTATTTTATTTTATACATAGACATTTCTATAATGTATTATTAAATATGAAAATCAAGTAAATAAGTAACAAATATAAACTATATAGGTAAAACAAATGATGTATATAAAATATATGTAATAACATAATTAAACTTACATAAATTGACTACTTAACATAATAAAGTTTATATATATAAATCAAATAAGTAATAGCTTTAATATTCAATTATAGCTATGCAATTAAATTATATTGTGAGGCCCAAATTAAATTACAACAATTAGTATTTTTACAAGTATAATAGGTATACATATTATAATTATATTTTATCAATCTTTTAAGGATATACAACTAACTAATTACACATATTAATTAAATTATTTAAATTATTTTTAATAATTTCCTAAATGTAATATTTCAATTCTTTCAATAAAGGGGTTACCAAAATATAAAAGTTGAAATTGGTGGTGGTAGCAAATGGAAATATATATTATTATACCATCGGTAAACGGAAAGATTGATTTTGGCTGAAAACTGTGACGCTCACCCGCTCAACCGTATTACACGGTGTTGTACGATTGAGAACGTTTTACCTTTTACGCAACACGATTGAGAACGGTGTCGGCAGATCAAAGAAACAATATTTTGTACCTTAAAATCAAATGATTGAGAACAGTATTTCTAGCGACGTTCCATTTATCATAACTTTTAGTAATAATTTTTAGGGCTAGGATTTTGATGCAAAGGCATCTTTTTTTGGTGTTTTAAAACGTTGTTTTGTAAGTATAAAATGTGTTAACTGATTTTTTTTTGCATTTTTGGGCATTTTTAACAATTTATTTATAAAACGTACCACAATTCATGCGATTAACAAAACAACTTTAATCTTAAAAAAATGCCTTAAAATAAGTAATGAATGTATTGATTTTACAATGATATGTGTGTGCTTTTTTTTTATCAAATTTAAAATTTAAATATGATTTTTTTGTTAACAATGTATTAAATGTTTAACTTTAATAGCTAAGGATTGAAAATGTAAAACAAAATTCCATGTAAGTTTGCCTGCTACGACAAAACATGTCAAACACGATGCTCCTATAACATATCGGGTAGGTGCCTAGCTATTTACATATGTCATATTTATATTCTAAAAATTTGGAGAGTAGGCCTGAGCATCGAATTTCGTTAATAGCATAGACGATGACCGTGCAATTATCATAGTATAGTGTTAGATAACCCAATAAAAATGTTAATCAAAAATATTCTACATACCTTGAATAATAATAAAGAAAAACAAAGAAAAAAATAATAAGCCAAATAGGTATTGAATATTGTACACAGTAAACGCATGTGTAAAACTATCTAAAAGGGAAATATCGAGTGATGACGTCACACATGTGCGAGGACGTGAGGTATGAATTATACATTTATACGTTTACCCGACTGGATAAACCCAGCGAGATGCATACATTTATGTATCATTTCTAACTTTTAAGTATCAAAGTTATACCAAGTTTGTCGTTTTTACTTAATCCAACTTAAAGCTGATTGGATACGATGTAAAACATCCGGTGATTTTTGATATAGTCATAATGAAACTAAATAACTTGACTTTGCCCAGGGGAAAAAAATTATCAGTTTATACAAATTGGTCTGTCTTGGTTTTGATGTGACTCGTTTAGATTGTAATATACCATAAACTTTTACGGGAGTGAACTCAACAACTGCCCAAAGTTTCATGGCGATCGGATAAATAGAGTAGGAATGTATAATGGTCAAACGAACAGACATTACAAAAGTTTAAGATATTATATGACAATATTTTTAATCACTGCAGTCTGCAGCGTCACAAAATAAATTGTATGTTGACAATAGATATTTTTTTTTTTTTATTGATCTTGAGCCCGGCAACTGTGGCCATTAGCTGTAGAGTAGGTATTGTAAGTTTGTATTGTAGGTTTTGGCCCAGTCTGAGCCCGGGCCGTCAGTCTATTAGCTATTATTAACATTCATATTTATTTTTCTAGTTTTATATAGTTCATTATTATAAATCCGTTACAGTTCGCCATTATTAATTTTTTCTTTTTTTATATAAAACAAAGAGTTAAATTTTTATTAGTATGCATTATTATGATATTGAATATTAATCCGTTAGAGCGCGCCCCTAGTAACAACCTTGTATCTTTACTTTATGTGGCCGGGATGTATATTATGTAATTTTCATATTTTCTTACCTTTCCCTAATCTGGCTGAATATATATGTTGAATTTCAAGCAAATTTGGACGATTAGTTTTGAAGATTGCGAATGCGGAAAAAATCGGCATCCATTTTTATTTATATAGATATATAGATACTAGATAGATAACTTCAAATCATCTTCATAGTTCATTCAGAAAAAAAGTTTGACCAACGAATATAAACTCTAGCTCTTAAAATCTTATAAAGTTATAACGAATGACATAATATACGTAGATCGTACTAATCACTTGTGATAAATGTAATATATTGTTAAATCATTTAACACCACACTCAGCCCTGCGTGGTAGGTGTTTGACCAATACGCGCAAACCGGTTTAAATGAGGTTCGGGGGATGAGTTCTCGATAAATGCGACATCGAGGGTGTATTTATCATATCACTATTATTATTATTGCTATCACTATTATTATTAACATCGTGGTTGTAACGAAGGAGGAGAATATTAAAAACCAGTTTTCGATGTCCTTGTACACCACTGTCGCCCGGGTGGTAAAGTGAGAAGCGCCCTCTCCCTTTCAATGCGCAAATACCAGCGCTCCAGTAATGCTATCCCTGCCAAAAACCAATAAAATAACTATTTCATCGTACACGAGTGTCGACGTGATCCGGTACGATTCATTTAGCCTATTCGACAATTGTTAGTGGCTTTTTGCTCGTCGTTGTGGCCAACAGTTTATTTTATAGTCACCTTGATTGTATACTGTTCATCAAATCTGTTGCCTTAAAAGTTATCATTTTTAAACCCTATAAATATATACCTACTACACACAAAATCTATCAAACGAGTGTGCGGTGTCCAACAAGGCACTTGCGTATTCGGTGTTGCTCGCCAATCGCCATGGTCGTCCTCGAAGGTCGCAGCCGCCGAACCCAGCATCGTAAACCGTAATCTATCGAACACGGTGTTTTTACAATTTTTTAGTCTTGGACACATGTGAGTATGACTACCATACCTATATATCAATATATACTTTTTAATATAATATTACTTATTCGTCAATTTTTATAATTATTCATATCGCTAAAAAGTCATAATAATGACCTTCGGTCAATGGGGTGAACCCCCCGGTGCAGATACTTTTCTCAACAGAAAGCTGTAAGTTACATTTATGATTATTTTTTTATAATCCTGTAAGAAAAATTAACATCGTTATTCGTCATTGGATCCTTTTTGGCCGGACCCCTTGTATTATAACAAGTGAAAGGTTATAGTCTATATCGGTAAGCGATAAATTTAATCACAACCACTCAATAATAATAATAATAATAATTCAATAATTTTTTTAAATATACAAATTAGTATCTATAAATTCTAAAATTCGAGAAAAATACCCCCATTGAACATAACATACCATTAACAAATTATTTAGAGTTAGAAATTGATAAACATTTTTATTTTTATATATACAATTTGAAAATGTAATACAAGATTCTTCATCAGGTCTTCTAATAAAACAAAAAAAAATGTCTACCGGACAGTTAAATTTAATTTTTATGAGCGTTTGAAGTTTAAATTTGTTCAACATTGGACATGAACTCGATTTCTCATTGAATAATTTTCTGATTTTGTTGTAATTCAAAATGTACACAAAATGCCTATTATATTATTCTCTGTAGTCTGTACTTGATAACATTTCCAAAATATTTTAAAACTTTTTGAACTGCTTACAGACATTTGGAATTTTCAATTGATTTAATTTTTTTCTATATCAAAACAATTGTATTCGTTGGTTCAGAAACCTTGAAAATTTTGTATAAGGTAACATATTGTTGCAATAGAAGTTTAAAAAATATTTAAAAGTACATATGTATGAATTTTTTTTTGTAATCATTTAAAGTTCAGACTTTCACAACATTTATTAAATTGAAAATGTTTCAAATTATTTTGCAGTTAGGAATGTACATAATGTTATAACTTATATCTTAGGATTGAAAATGTAAAACAATTTTCCACGTAAGAAGTTCATACTGTCACCAAAAAACCTAAATAATATATTAACTCAATTTTCTTATGGACATTTTAAGTTCAAATTCAAACGAAATTTATTTGGTTTGTCGTAATTCAAAAATATTATTCCTTTCTACTTTGAAACATTTATAATATAGTACCTATTATGTTTTATACACACAATGACATTTTCAAATGCAATGCTTTCGACAAAAATGAATTTAACTATAGTACTAATGCCTAAATGCCTAGTATTAAAAAAAAAAAACTTCAATCCCAATAATATCATAAAATAAACTTAGTAACTTTATTATCTGACAAACCGTCTTCGCTCAAAACGTTTTTCGTATACAATGACCTTCTAGACACCTAATGAACAGCAGAACGTTACCCACTTTCCCGCTTTTTACTTTTCTAAGTTTATTTAAAAATGTAATAATACAATTTTAGAATAGTGAAATAATAATATTATTTATATAGAAGGTAAAATATAGTTAGAATAGCGTCGATTTTAAACCAGCTGATTTACACTGATATAACTCCTACAACCCGGCGGTGGTTGGCTATACCGACTTGTGGTGTATAGGGCGTACGGTTTCCCAAGAATGATTACAGGACTAGCTTAATACTTCATGAATACATATATTTCATATATTATATATTTAAATAATGGGTGGGAGCCCAAGGTTATATATAAACAAATAAGCGATCTAAATAAAAGCTCAATAAATCAAATAAAAACGACAATACAAAGATGACCTGGCTGCGCAACCATTCCACTCCACACTCGAACCTGGTAGACGTGACTGGAACTCTCTCCAAAATTAGGCAGCACACTTATGATGGCACACGACGTTGTCGTTGGTGGCTGGACTGCAGGCAAGGGATGTGTGTACACGGCAAAAAGATACACCGAAGTAACCAAACTGCAATGGCGCGTAGGCCGATTGCAAGCAACACAAATTTTATCATTAATCGCAAACATGGTAATTCACATTGACTTAAAAATGTCCACTAACATAAATGACATACAACTAATATCGACTAAATTCCAAGTATAATAATTGGCATCTAGACCAAAAGTAGTACAACATTATTATTTATTAGGTATTTATCTGAACGAATCTCGTTGACATACAAATTCACCTGCAGCACATTTAAAGCTCATCTGCTAGATCCAAACTTATGCACATCAATATTAGTTAGTAATTTATCATAATAATTAATAATCAAAAATCATAATATGAAGTTTGTAAATTGTATGGCAGACCAATAAAACCTTGAATCATCCCATCCCTCTAAAATATGTCATCCCGGTACTGTGCTTGCAGTATATAGGTACACTCAGAGTTTTCATAAATTATGTTTGAACTAATATATTTTTTAGTGTTATAATTTATTAGTATTGTTTTAATATTAAAGACAAGTTTAGGAATCGTCAACAATTTTTATTATACCTACCTATTTACGAAATTCCTTAGGTTGCCGTAATGACAATTATTAATAGATATATAATTATTTCAGATTAACACATGAATATAAATTACTTATATATTACCCATCTATTGTCAATACAAATTACCAACCAGGCACTAGACAGTACAACAATTCTCGGAATTTGACAATTTCAACTACAGTTTTTTAATCAATGCTAATTAACGATGTTATACGATTTTCAACTTGGTATAGCTTAGTAAACACTTAAAAAAATGTATAAACGTTATTGTTTTTTAATTTATAGGCCTTGGAATTCAAATAATCAATATGGACATCAATCATATCGTATCTAAAATAAGTAAAAATGTTACTGATGTGGAAAGCGATTACAATAATCCTAAAAACTATACTACGGCAACTAATAAAGTATACAAATATAATTGCGGTGATTCTTCTAATATTGAGTATTCTAATCTTAAACCAAGTAATCAAACAATTATTTTATCAGTAATTACAAATCAATAAGTGGTTATAAATAACTTCCGTTTAAAATGATTATAAATTGCAATAATATTATATTAGTGATTAAGCTTTACAACCTCTTTCAGTTTTCTCAGGAAATAAAAAAACTAACTATTATCAAATAAATTATATTATTACAGGTTATTGTGGTCCTGACAGTAGTCGTGGTAAACTTCGACAAATGATAAATAATTCGAATGACTTTCGGATTCATCTAGGTTTTGAAAACACCTATTGTGTTCAAAATAGCAATATTAACTCTATAGTGGTGGAACATGAAACCAATAACACGGTGTCTAGAGAAATAACATCATTTGAAGTTAGTGGTATCCACAAAGATCTGATGGTCAATATTTCTAAGCTCAATTTCAAAATAAAAACTAAAATACTAAAAAGCACCTTACCAATTATTATGGGCGGAAGAGATTTATTAGCCAGTACACCGGCCGGTTCTGGAAAAATTGTAAGTACCAATAATTTCTATACAAATTACTCATTTAATGTGTTTTTGTTATGATAAATATAATGGTATATTGATATGCCTACATATAGCACAATTTTTATTTGTGTTGTATTTTACCAGATAGCTTTTGTTATATCAATACTGAACTGTTTACTGAATAATCTACCGGAAATAAATGACGAGATTCAATGTTGCGAACCACTTGCTGTAATTGTGGTACCCAAGAAAAAATCGGTCAAACAAATATATCATTTTATGAAACGATTGAGTAGTGGCACTTCAATTAAATGTAGACCTTTGTATGCTATTGAATCCGCACAACACCAAAAACATAAAATTAAGGTAAAATTGAGAGTAATTGTATTAAACATTTAGATATTTAATTTTATTTATTTTAATATATAAATATATAATTTTATTTCGTTTCGTTTCTTTTACAGCAAGGCGTTCATGTTATTGTTGCTACTCCGGAAAGCTTAGCTAGTTTTGTAAGCGGCGGTTCGGTCACTTTTGCTGCTTTGCGATTGATTGTATTTAATGAAGTCGATTTAATTTTACAATGGGGTTTTAAACCCGAAATTGAATTCATACTGAACAATAAAACTATGGTATCGGAGGTAAGCACATTTTGTTTTTTTAGAAAGTTTAGGTCTATGGGCTTAAATTATTTTTTATACTTAATGAAGAATTGTTTAATGATAATATTTTATTGAATAGGCATTACGCATGTACTTATTATATAATACAATCGTGTATTTAGTCATGGTATCACGTAAAATAGGACATGAATTAAAATACACAGAATATGAAACGACGCCTTGCTATGAATATTAATTTAAAGTTGGAATGTTCTCCATTTCCATTATGACTACTAGCGTTCTCATGGTTTTCTATTGGTCAATTATAGTCACCACTCACCCGCTAATTTTCAAACTCTGATAATATATTTAACGTATATTATCAGTGGTTGAAGTGGAGAGGAGGGGGATACAGTTGAATTCACCGTTTTCGCGCCAAAATCAACCTGTCTGTTTACCGCTAGTATAATAATATATATTTCTATTTTCCACCACCACAAATTTGAATTTTATATTTTGGGAACCCCTTAATGTCAAGATATTACATTTAGGAAATGATTTAAAATAATTAAATTGTATAAATCAATGTTAAATGTATAGTTAGTCAGTAAGTGATAATAATGATTTTTAAGTTGTATATACCCATAAAAGATTGATAAAATATAATAATATGTATATCTATTATACTTGTAAAAATATAAATGTGTGTAATCTAATAATGTGCCTCATAATATAATTTGATTTTTTTTTTTTTTTTTATTGAACTTAAGCTTCGGCAACTGAGGCCATTAGCTGTAGTAGGATTTGTATTGTAGTTTGTATTGTATATTTTTTGGAACGGTAGGGGGGAACACGTGTGTGTTTGTTTTTGGCAGAATTTCGAATGGGGCACCCGTAGGTTTCTGCCATGCCCCGGGGGTGGGGGATGGCAGCACTTGTTCTCCGGTCACCGCGACTTGTCCGGAGAAAAATGCCGCCCGGCAGCCGAGGATCGAACCGCGACCGGCTGCGTCGCAGCGGACGCGTCAGACCACTCGGTCACCTCATCCCCCTATAATTTTATTATATAGCTATAATTGAATATTAAACCTATTACTTATTTTATTTATATATATAAAATTTATGTAAGATAAGCCACTCTGAAATTTTAGCGGATTTCAGCCTATGTGGCTATGTAGTATGTATAGAGGTTTAATTGATTGAATTACATAACCAAATGCAAATTTAAATAAAATAATAACATCACAATATTCTACCTTCATTACGCATTAGTATATCTTAAAAGGGTATTTATCTAGTGTTTCTTTATTATCTATGAGTGTGTCGTACACGGTACACGACTGTATGACTTTCGTGTGTGAATTAGCAATACATTTTCATAAAAATTACATTTATTTTCAGGACAAAAGATTAATAGCTTTGTTTTCAACCACTATGTCCAATGATGTTAAACAATTAGCAATGACATACCTAAAATCGAATTATGTATCACTATCCACTGTACCTATCAATAGGTATAGCTAAATACCAGATACCGACCTATGTTTCATGAATGATCAAAGCGATAGTCATTAAACATGCTACTTATTGAAGAATGAAGAGACCGGAGAAGCGTGTACATAATACCTATACTATACATGACGTCAGAGATTCCCAACCAGGGTGCCTCGAACTTTATTTAAGGTTCATCAAAATTATTTGATAATCTAACAATATTATGCAATAATAATTGAAAGTAAAAATATGTAGTTAATGCTCAATGTAACAATTTGTTTCATAAAATATAATATTTCATATTTGTATATAGTTATTATATAGCTACGTTTTACTACTTTTGTTTTACTTATGCACTGCTAAATAAAACCGAAGTACTCCATAGAGTGCCTCCGGATTTTTAGAAAATGACTAAGGGTGCCGTGAGTAAGAAAAGGTTGCTAACTCCCGGATGGGTGACCCCCTGGGTGTTTAGAAACGAATCCTCACCAATCACATACTAATGTGTACTCAAACTCAACCACAATCCTCCACAAAACGCTTATGGCCATAGTTACCGATGCTTTTCAAATTCCGAAATTCTAAATTATTTAAAATATTATTGTAAAGTTTATGGAAATAATTGACAATACCGACGTTTGTAAATTGAGATATTATAAATTATGGAACCGTTAATAATTATAATTATTTTAGTGGTGTCAGTTATTAATGGTTGTAGATGGGAGAATTTACCTTCCAAATAATGCTTCAAAAAATAAAATATAAAAAAATTGAAATATGTTATAAAGTTGCTCCAAGTGCAACCATGCTCACCAGTCACCATACCATACCATTATATCCATTAATCACTCAAATTATTTCAGACTATAGTTTTTTAAACTGCCCATACTCCATAGTATTTTACTAATAGATCATAATATGATCATTTTCACTCAATACAATTGTATATGGCTATTAATTATTATACAGAAGAGTGTTCGGAGGCGATACAAACATGTTTCTCATATCGGAAACTCCATTTTACTGTAAATCGTTGAGCTGCTGTTGGTTTATTTGAATATGTTGATTTATCTGAATACAAATTCGAACAAGTTGTTAAATTATTAAAATTTTAAACTAACACTATGAAACCTACTTTTGAACAACACATTTTTTATTTCAGTAATTATCTATGCTTAAGCTTGAATATTATTTTATAATAAATTTAGCATATGATTCATATTATACTCGTATAGGAAGGACCTGATTGTACCCATAACCCATATGTGTCATGTCGTCTATGTTTAATATATATATATTATATAAAAATTGAAATTCTATTAAACATAGGTATATAACTATTGTATTATTAAATATTTATACTCACAACCTACTCGACTAATTAATATTATAAATACTAATATTTAAAATCATTATAAATTATCTTGTGGAATATCTATTGACTATTGTATCTTTTAGAATAGATGCATCATTTTTAGCTTGTGTAGTTGTGTATAATATATTTGAAATCAGGTACTCGTTCAAATATCGATTTAGATAGGAACATTCTGCACATTTTCAAAGTTAACAGCAAAAAATTTTCTCGATGGTATAAATGAAGAAGAAAACACTTTTTAAAAGTATAAAAAAAAATACCAAGGAATCGTCGGTCGTCGCCGGGTTTAAGTAAAAATTGTGGTTTTTCCTGAGTATTTGGAATCAAACTGCCGTATAAATAAAAGACTTGGCCTTGCACTTTAAATGTTGGCATAAAACCTGCTTCTACAATCTGCTTATTCTTGTTTTAGAAAGCAAAATAAAAAGTTACTTGGGCTAGAACTCGAGACTTCAGTCAGCAATCTTCAGATTCTTTAAACTTAAAATGTATTCGCAATTAGTTTATTAGGTAATAAATGTTAAATCAGATGCAGTCTTTCTTAAAGTTAAAACACGTATTTAAAAATCCAATTTTACCTATATTAATGAAAATAAATTTAAAAATACGATCAGAGATCTCTCTACTTTGATTTAGTGTTTTAAAAAAATGTAGACAATTAATTAAACTTATTATAGATGCAAAAAATGAAATTGAAAGAGGCTGGCTCTTTTATATAAATACCATCGAGCTAAAGAATATACTGGAGTTAATAAACTAACAATAATTATAATATAATATCATTTGTTTTCTATGGGTCATCGTATGTGTAAAATAATGTTTTCCCCTTTGGGAGTGGGGGTTACGCTTATCACTCGCTCCAGTTTATTCTTTATCTCGATGGTAAAAGCATATTTTGAAGGAAATAATGTAATGTTTAGTTTAAAATTATATTATCTTTTAATCTCAGACTACAGTCAATTTAGAATTACTTACCAAAAATACGAAGAAAAACATAGTTGTATTATGTTTGTTTTGGTCTTAATAAATATGTGGGAAAAAATTGGATTCAGTGCAATGTGGAATGAAGTGGGATAGAAAAATATTTTGAATTCTAAGACAATACAATTTTAAGACACAAAATCATATTTTAAATTAAATTACTGAATAAATAAATACTGGAAATCTTACAATAAATCTTCATACCATCAACTCTAATTAATATTTTATTAATATTTTTTAATATTTTATAGAAACATTCGATTTATCAACTTTTATAATTTTTGAGTCAAAGAAATCATTAATTAGTGTTGAATGTAATTAAGTTATTAATAATTACAAGTACTGGTAGTACGCTAGCCAACTGGTTTTAAAACCCTGGTTAAAAATTATGATAATTAATTATGGGTATAAGTTTTATTGATATTAAAAATATAATATAGGTACACACATTTCATATAATACCTACTTAAACAATTTAACATTTATAAAATTTAAAATCGCTGATAGAAAAAATAATTTAGTACGAATTACGATACAAAGAAAAAAAAAGTTATGAAGAATATATAATCTATATAGGAACATGAATGCCACCTACAAAATATTTTTAAACTAGGAGCCGGGCGCCTCATGTTATGGATATATTTGTTGTAAAATAAGTACCTATACATTTGTTATATTCATATATTATTATAAAATAACTATTTATTTTTGATAATTTTTAAAAAATGTGGCCAAATAAAAAAAAATAGAATAATTCACTTCTAAAACCGGACTAATTCCGGAAATGGTAAGTTTTTAAAATAATAAACAGCAAAATGTACTATTTCCTTGAATCATGTCATGACGTAGGAACTCTATTGGATGGAAATGGTTCGTTTTGGCACAATTAACAAACTTGGAAGTTAAATTAAGGACATTAAGCTACGATTTAACTTGGAGAACATAACAAAAAAATTTTAATTACAATTTTATACATTTTTTGGTAAAATTACCATATCTCTAAACTAGTTCAGTAGTTCGTATCTAACAAAAATCCATCAATACTGAAAAAAGTGAAAAATGGAGAGTAATTTTTTTTAAATACAAATTTATTGTAAGTACCTATTTATTATATTTATTAACTTTTGTTAAGTTAATCAAAACATTTATAACTCTGACTCTAAAACTGCAGTTATTATGTAGGGCTAGAGACTTCACGCAATAAAAATCCTTACAAAATTCATACATTTATACCCTAAATATTTACCGTGTATGCTCTTATGTACACAACTGCTTAAATATGCTCTTAAAAATATTTTGTTTTGTCTATTTATCTTTGTTAATCCTTCTACTTTTTTAGGTATTTCGAAATACCGACTCACACCAGTAATAAATGTCATGCCGAAATATCAATGTAAAAAAAATACAGTCATCCCTAAAGTGGCATATATAGGATGTTAGTCAGGGGCGTCCTTTCAGTTTTTTTTCTGAGTGTGAAAACCTTATAGGCAGGCCCATTTTGACATTTCACTAGGCCATTAAAAAATATATATATATATATATATTTAAAAGTAGGTAACCTATGCAAACCTATGTAATATTCTTTCCTTCTCTTTTATAATTCTAATAGAAACGCATAACAATTAATGGAACTTTTAAATAGCTAGAAATTCAACGAATAAATAGCTTATAAGCAATTAAAGCAACCAGCTAAAGCCATTTCACTATTATTTGAAAAAAAGGCAAATTAGGGTAAATCAATAAACCCGATAAACCAAAAATATACAAAAACTTGAAATAAATATATTTTATTTATATTACCTATATATGAAATCATAATGTGTAAGTTAATTATGACGGCGCATTGGAGTATTAATGGCGGGCCAATTGTTAACATTTTTTAAGTTATTGGTACCGTTGCACACCCTGCTTCCCCTCCCCCCGCCCCCCAAATATTGGTATATTAGTATTGTAGTACATTTTCAAATATTATTTACTTGTTCATTTTTGGTCAGGATTATAAATATTTCTTGTAGACTAAGCTATCAACAACATTGGAGTTGAGCTAGATAAACACACATTCATTGTTTTTCAAATGTAAAAGAACACGATAACATATTTAAAAAAATATTTGTACATGTATAATTTATATTATCAAAATTAATTACATTGTTATAAACCATAAGAACCACATGTATTATACATTAAAACAATGATAACAGCATATTGAAGTATAACATTTTAATACACATGAATTTTTACATACAAAACATAGATGTCAAAACAAGTACTAACCAAATAAGGATATCAAATTGAAATGACCCAAATAAAATATATTTTTAAAACTATGCTTTTAAAGCAGATAAATTGGAATGAACATATTAATAAATCATAAATCAAATATCTATTTTTAAATAATAAATTCCAGTGTTTTTTTTGTCTTTTTTATGTTAATATAAGTAATTTTGTTACTTACAAATATATCATAATATTTACAATTTTAAATAACGTCAACTGGTCTTAACATTTTAATGAGATTATAACATGTTTTAATTTAATTTAATTTGCAAGTCTATTATGATTAAAATGATTATCATGTCTATGATGATTTACTAAATTAGCCTCATCTGGGTAGTCATCTTCATCAATATTGTGGTTAGGATTATGATGTTGAATTTGATCAATGTCACCTTCATCTTCATCTTCATCTTCATCTTCAATTTCATGAAGCTCATCATTGTCATTATTGTATACTACATCACGATTGTTAGGTCGATGTGGTTGAAAGTTTTCGTTAGGATGGGCAACACCTCTGTGATTGCCCAATACAAATCGAGGACCATTGACATAAGGTACATTTCCATTATCGGCAAGCAGAATATTACGATGAAATTCATGAAATGGTTCATTGCGATACTCATGTCTAAAAATAAAATAATCAAATATCATACTATCATAAACCCTATGATATAGCAAAATGTTGTGTGGTTAGCGTTAAATATTAGAGTGAATTGAGCTATTAATATTATCAAACTTAAAGGCAAGTCTATTATCTAGAGCAGAGGTTCTCAAACTATGGTACGCGGAAGACTACATGTCGGTACGCAAAAGGCCACATGGTGATAGACCAGAGAGTAAATAAATCCATATAAATTGTGTTTGAATATGGTCACATGGAAATAAACATAAGTGGTACGTGACCACAGATATATAAAAATACTAGATAGCCGACTTGGAAATGATTTTGAAGCCCACAAATTGGCCGAAATTCTCTTACCTAAGAGGTAAATGTTTACATTTTCACAACACTGATTTATGATATTTTGTAAACATTCACCTCTTAGATAAGAGAACCTCGGCCATTTTGTAGGCTTCATAATTTTTACATTGTAGGAATAGGGAGTTGTCTATCTAGTATTTTTATATATCTGTGTACGTGACAGATGAATAACACACATGAGTGGTACGCAAAAAATAAGTTTGAGAACCACTGATCTAGAGAATCTCTATGCATTTATTGATATTTAAATTTTTAAGTAAATAATGAAAAATATTACAATGCTCCAGAATGAAAATAGCAATACAAATCTACGGAGTGTCGTGTTCCTGTCTTAAATGTTGTGATAGGTTAATTCAATCTAATATAAAAGCTAGCAACACTTAGTTTGCTGAATACATATTTGTTTTTATGCAGTATGATGTACATTTGTAAGATGGAGAAAACAAATTGATTGGGGGTCTCTTAAAAATTAATTTATTATTGTGGTTATTTGTGTAATGAGTGAATATTTTTAAAAATATAAAAAAAAATGAACATCATTTTATTATTATACCATTATTTAATTAAGTAGTGGTTTAAATTTAGAAAATGGGGTGTGTATTGTTTGTTCTAATAAGATAAATCTTTAATTCCTAAATTATTAAGTTGGTTTCAAAAAAAAAAGAAAAATGGTATTCTGATGAGTAGGAGAAATTCAAAAGCACAATGCAAATCACATACACAATACACATATACCGAATACGGGGTGGTGGTGGAGGGATTTATCTTTTCACAATAATTCAACTGGTTGAGACACAAAACATGCAATCTTATTTTCATAAAATTTAAGCTTAATAAGTGCACCAGTAACAATGTTTACTTCATCTTACACACAGTTAAAACCTTTATACATATCATCTATTGGATTACATTGTTCAAATTTAAGGTAGTAAACAATCTATACATATTTTGTACAATAATATTAAGTGTTGAAAAAGGTTAGAGCCAGAAGATATAGCAGAGAAGCCACCCACTAGCATCACTCCTGGTGTGGGGTAAATAAGGTTGTGAGTTTGTGACACCACTTTCTAAAAATCTTTCGGGTGGGTCGCCAGGGATTGGTTTAATAAGATTTATAAAAAATAACTAAAAGTAAATTATAAATATTATCTGTTTTGTTAAAAGCTTTTTTTTTTATATTTTTATTATTTATTTATTTATTTATTTATTATTGATGATGTCAGTGCATAATTTGTTTACCCTATCTGAATCACACTCAACATACCAAATAAATGTTTAGCAGAACTAACCCAGTGTTGTTTTGATATTTTAGTACTTTTATTATAGTGAATTATTTATAGTTATAAAACATTAAGCTAAGAACATTACCTGTGTCCTTACAATGGCTTTTTACGATATTTTACTTTAATATAATAAAAATTTATAATTATTTTTAAATTGTAATAATTTACACACTTGTAAGTTACATAAAAATTAAAATATCATAAAATAGCCAACAGAGATACACATACAAATGTTTGTAACTTAAAATTCGATAAGAGGCAAATTAATTCTAACATTGAAATTAGGGTTGGTTCTACTCAACATAAATATGTTGTTGCACATGATTCCAAGAGAAAACAAATAATACCCAGAAATCCTCTTAAGAGTACGTCATACCCGCATGCTTTGTCTCAGTCTTACAAACACATGACATTGCACATTGAACGTTCCGAATAATTAATTTAACTCTGTTATATTTAATCTTAAAGTGAATTGACCTATAATCAAATTTAGTAATAACAAAATTATCAAGTCAATTAAATAGATTTTTTTTCATTCTTCAATTTTATCATTTTAAGATGTACAAACAATTTAAAATTATAGAATAGAATGCTCATAACTCGCATTAAAGTTGAATTATAGAAAAAAACCTGTCATTGCCTAGATAATATTCTCACTACTACATTTGATTATAATTAAATCGGAGTATAATTATTCAGAATGTACAATGTGCTATGTTGTGTTTGTAGGACTGAGACAAAGCATTATGGTATGATGTTCTCTTAATAGTTATTTAAAAAGTTTTAAGAATAAATAAGAAAAACCGATTAGCATAAAGCTAAAAACATTCTTTTAGTATTTACAGTTAATACTTTGATGACATTGAAACGTTATTAGTTTATCACTTTTATAACATATAAATAATTGTTGATTTTATTATTAAAAAAAAAATAATAATAGTTAAAGAAACTTGAAACAGAAAACTGTAACTTAAATTTCTATCCAAAATGAAATTTTAAGTTATTTATAGTCATTAGAAATTTTTTAAATCATTAGGCTTGATCAAAAAGCGAGATAAATCAAGATTCTTGATTAGTTATACTCATGGAACTTTAAGTATGTTGACACAACTTTTTTTTACAACCGTTTGAAGTTGTTAAAATTGTAACAAAAACTTGTCAAAATGCAAGTTATTTTATTAATATTTAATTATTTAGTATTTTTAAGCACAGTTTTTATTTTGCAACATGATAATAAAATATAAATATATACGTAAATATATATTTAACTCACTCTAAAACTTCTTCTCCTTCTGCTTCATCTTCATTTACATTTACATCTTCAGAATCAGAATCAGTATCACTTATAGGTTCTTCTTCATCATCAACATCTTCATCAGTTTCTAAATTATTTCCCATTTCAGCAAAATATTCTGCTCGATTAAAATGACCCCTATCATCATACTCACCATCTTCCTCATATTGTTCGTCTTCATCATATTGATCATTTTCATTAAATTGTAGGTTTATTTCTTCTTCTGCAATCCCAAAGTCTTCCTCTACAACATCTTCAATGTGGTTATCATAATATTGATGATTATTATGATACCTAATGTTATTTCTATTAACATTATTTTGCAATTGAGATGAAGGATTTGGATTTTTTGGTTGATTCTGAGAAGTTGAAGGTCTAGGAGAATTGGGTCCTGGGTTTCGATTTGGCAGGTTTGAAGGATTTGATGAATTCTGACAATTTGACAAGTTTATTGAATTTGATGCATCAGGTGGTTGTGTAATTCTGAATTGATTAGTAAGATTATAAGGGAATTGCGGGGGGGGGCCTTTTGGGGGGGTAAAATCGAGAACTGGCAACTTCATCCCCGCAGGCACATGACATCCTCGTTCTTTCATCCTAGCAAATATAAGATTATTTAGCTCTCTTCTTTGTATGCTGTTCTTAGATACTTCATCAGGATGGAACCAATTTTCCAAGTAACGAATTGGAAAAGTGTAATCTACGAGCGGCTTCTAAAAATAAAGTAAGATTTAGCTTTTTATGGATGGTATAGTAAATAGTTAACTTACTTTGAAAAAAAGTTTATAATAATAAAGGGCAAAAAGGCCACAATCGTAATAATTAGGTTGCTGAGGTACTTTCACTAAACATGCTTTAAAATTACTAGGGCTAAAGTCTCTTGTTCTGTCATTGTATCTAGTGATATATTCTTGCTCCACCCATTCACGTAGTGTGGCTGTGATTCTAGCACGGCAAGGACCACCACATAAAGAATCAAATACCAAAATGCAAGGCCTAAAAAATAAGTAAACTTTAATAACTTTAATTTCAATTAGTGATCGATAAATTTACCGTTGAACTAGTGTATGCTTATTTTTTATATGATTCGCCACATCAGTTTCATAATCAATTCCATATTTATTTAGATAGTTGAGCTAAAAAATATTAATACACCAAATTAAAATGAATATGTGTATATAAAATATCTAGCAAATTAAATAACAATACAAATGACTCAGGTGAGGATCTAGAACTGAAATTGGAGGGGAATCATTTATTTGATAAGGGCTAAAAGATAATACACAATTAAAAAATAATGAAAGTAAATTATTAATTAAAATTAGAACTTTATTAATTATTGTTAATTTTTAAAATTAAATCACAAAGTTTAATCTCCTTGGTTTTGTGAACATTGAGCAAAACAAGACCGGCGAGGCATTACCTTTACCGTTGGCTGTTTCAACGAAGCCACATCTAAAGTGCCTGAGAGTAGAGAATGATCGTTCCACTGTAGTACCACAAGAAATGTAGAGTATTTGCAATATAACATGAATATTTGAGTATAAATCTATGTCACACTGTTTTATCACCTGAGGTAGGGACTCGATAATTAAGGGCATATACTAGTTGCCTCCCGAAGCCAAAAGAATCAATAATTTTTACACAAATTGGCTCCAGACTTATCCTAAATTTTATAGTAAACAAAAAGGGTTAAGTACTAGTTGCCTCCCAATGGGCAGGTAATAAATTCAGCTAAACAATTTAAATCTAAGCAATGTTATAAGTTTATAACATATCATTTTTTTAGTTACCTATTATATTATTATTTTCATATTATATTATAGTTGAGTAATTTTTGTATAATGTTGTAAGTATATATCTAAGACTGATTTTTTTGACTGTATATCTTTTACTTCATAACACAGTATATTAAATTTTACTGAAATGTATGAATCATATATTAATTATGATTTATCTATAACATACTAAATAATTGTAAATTTACTATATTAAATTACCAAATATAATTGTATAACAATAATTTATTATATATACCTAAGACTGATTTTTTTTTTTATACAGTAAGTTCTCGTTACAACAAACTCCAAGGGACCGAATTTTTTTTTTGTTATAACGAAATTTTGAAAATTCGAATAAAAGCAAACTCAAAAACAATATGTACCTACATACATATGTATAATTCAAATGTAAATAATTTGCGGAAAAAATAAATAATTGTATTACATATAAATAATTGACAATTTTAACAAATGTAAATAATTTGTGAAAAAATAAATAACTTTATTATAGATAATCACACATAATGGCAATTTAATGGCTTGATAATTTCGTAAAATCGTATGCTTGTTATCTTTATATTAAATAAATTAAGAAGGGAAAATACATATATTTTAACCTGTACACTGTACAAATAGTTCGTTGTATCGGGATTTTTAAAAATCAATCATTTTGTTATATTGAGATTAGTTTAACATTGTTTTAATAGCTTTTCGGCAGGGAACTTCTAAGACTTTCGTTATAACGGGATTTTTCGTTGTATCGGTATTCGTTATAACGAGAACTTACTGTAATTCTAAATACCTATAATTTTAGTATGACGTTCTTCCTTAACTTAAAATAAAACTACAATGTTTACTATGATAAAAATAGAAAAATATCTATACATCTATAATATTAATTTATTAAACATTAATTATTATGTTTCTGTAAACTTAATTTTTATAGTTATATAACACATGTGTGTAGTATGTACTTACATGGTATATTATAAAAAAGTTTATGAACTACTAATTAATTCTATATGGGAGGCTACTCATAATATATAATTATGAACTACCTAATTATAAGAGGCAAATTGTGTATATTAACTTTTTATTTCCAATAACAATAGGAGAAAATCTGTATATTTTGTGAGGAAACTAGTATGCGCGGCTAATTTATCACCCTTTTATATTTAAGAGTTTTCATTTTGTAAACCAAAGCTGAAATTTCGAAAATACCATGTATAAATAAGGATCATGTAGAAATTTATTGTATATTTTAAATTGCTTCTTGTTTGGCTTTCAAGTCAACTTCTGAGAACTCAGATTTTGGTAAAAATACACCTGACTGAAATAATGACAGTTTCTTCTGGAGAAAGTCGTTCTGCTATAAATGAATTCAAGAGAAGAATATAATATATCCTTTTGCGGAAATATTTTTCAGCAGATGAACCTACCTGGCTTGTTATTTTCTCTTATTAATTAACGTTGTTTATAGTATTTTGTAACAAGTTATTAGAACCCAAATTAGTGATGAGTGAATAGCTATTAGCGGTGAACACGTCACTGTTCAAAAAGCTAATATAGACTTATATTAATACATTAAACGGGTTAAGAATAATCTTATCTTTTCGTCAAAAAATCTTATATTTCTGCTGATTTATAATTTGTTTTATATTTAGTCACTAAAAAAGAATTGTCAATCAGCTTATAATTGATTTTAATACTCCTAGAAGTTTAGCGGTAATTATGATTTAATAAACAAGTAATGATGTAGTTTTAAAGCATATAATATGTAATAGAAAATGAATAGTGTGAAAAAAATTTAAAAAAACTTAATTTATGCATATTGTATTAATTTTTTAAATAAACACGAAGAAGCCCATTTTAATATTTTTTAAGGGAATGGATCCGAGCTTAAAATGTTGAGACTTAAAATATGATATTGAAAATTTGAATTGTAAAAAAAATCTTACATTTGTATTTATATCAAACAACCAAAGATCTTCAACGTTAGGATCAGCTTCACAACGTTCTTGATTTACTGAGTCACATGGTGGCAATTTATATCGACCTATAATTTAAATAGTATTAACAATTATTACTGTCAACTACCCTAAGTTCAAAATATTATTATTTTAGAATGTGATAATAATAATTAATTTATACATATTTTAAACAAAGTTGATAATATAACACTGAGATTATTCATATGTATTCAGAATCATATCTTTTAATTTGATCTCCCAATTATAAAATTAATTATTACAAAAGTTATACAGAATATTTTTTAAGGTTTGACATATCATGTTATCTAAATTGTTTAAAACAACTTTTATCTTAGAGTTACATTAAAAACAAAATTTATTAACTGGTTTTGCATAAAGTTCTTCGTTTTTTCATAATTTTTTGTTTGTTTTTCAAAGGAAACTATTCTACATTTTTACTTTTAACCCCCCAAAGTACCAACTAGATTCGCTTTCCTACCAGAAAGGATTGGTGAAAACCAAAGCATTTTTACTATCCTAAAACATGATGATAGAAAAAAAAACACACACCATTGTAAAAGCAATACATTCATAGCTTTGCTCGGAACCTAAAACACATTTTTTTTGTTTTAAACAGGGTATATAGTAAAATAATAAATTAAACATAAAACCAATACGCCAAACCTTCAACAATATTATTCTTTATAATTTTTGTAATAAGTGTTATAACTCTAAGAATATTCAAGAGCCATGAAAAAACAGTTTTATGTGACTGTGTTTTGGTTTTAATGTTGAGCATGGTTAAAAGAAAACACATAGTGCAATGAAATCATTTTAAATACTAAATAGTATAAAATGTGTGTTTAATATTATAGTAAGTTAATTTAAATGTTATCATACATCTAACTTAAATTTGAAATATTTACCAGTAGTATCATCAGGTGTGTTTACAGATGCTCCATTTTTCACGTTGACCTTACCCGTTAGGTGAGGAAAACAAATAACAGCCATATACCAATGAGAACTAAAAAAATATTAATTTAATAATAATTTTATGGTTTAATGCTAATTGAATGCTTACTTTTCATTTATTGGTACAAAAATGAAATCTTTCTTGAATATGTCCACATGTTTAGTCCATTTTCTTACCCTTTGGTGTCTAACCTTTGCTGGCGAATTCATTGATATCTCAGTAGGAGTAAAAACTTTTGCTAATACAGAATAAAAGTATGTACTGAAGACACACGAACGGCTTCTTTCTTCTTCATTTAATTCATTAGTATATACATAACTATAATGCAAAAAATATTTTTTATAACATTACTCAAAACTATTAGCTTATATAATTTTAATTAAAATAAATTACTCCATATAATATTCAAGAAGAATATCATTCAAAAATTCAGTTGAACTCAACATTTTGTAGTCCAATATTCTGACGTAGTGGGTTCTTTGACTTAATCTATCTACCAGTATCCTAGAAAAGAATATAATAAATTAAAAACAAAATTTGTCATGTTTAACAGATTTCAAACTTACACAGACGTCATATCAGGTTTATCCACTTCTTCTTTTTCACATTTCTTCTTGCTCTAAAAATTAAATTTTAAATATTTCTATTTAATATAATATGGTAATTATATAGATAATTAAAAGTTTGTAAATTATTAAATGTAACTGTCAAATGGTATAAATATTAAGTATGCGCCAAAATTAATTATATGCAAATATTTCTAATAAAATAAATATTACATTTTTCTTTTTAAGAAGGCGTAACCTAAACTTATCTGTTTTTGCAAAATCTTACCAAAGTAGAACATAGCAAATTTACATTTTCAGAACCATAATTGAAAGCTATGGTGCAATAACCAGATATCTTCACAATTAAAAACTAATTCAGTATATGGATACTTTAACGTTTAACATATGATTTCAATTTATAATAAATCACAAAATTGAATGACTGCAAGCGAGGAGCGAAACAAGAAAGGTCAGTCCACTCACCCAAGATTTACTTCAAGTTTGTGTACAACCACAACCTCTGAGTGAATAGAGAATCTCAAAAACTCAAAAATCAATTTAAAATGGCTAAAATGCATTAATTAGTTTTAATCAATGGATATTAGTATTATTGGAGTTACTAAATGTTCTTATACTAAATATTATATCCATTCGTGTTATTTGAATATTTATTGAATGGTGTTATTGCAAAGAACCATAGACAAGTTTTTCCTTTATCAAAAATTATAATTTGTAATTTTGATCAAAAAGTGTAGAATTTCGGATATTACATAGGCCCTGTCAATTTAAGTTTAGATATCACTTACAATTCATATTAGTCTATTTCCCCAGTATAACAGTCCAGAAAATTAAAAAGTTATTTCAGTTATGCGCAAGATATTTACAAAATACAAGTTGTTTAATTGATTAAAAAAAAATGCAGCCCTTAAAACTATTTTATTGATTAATGTTCGTAACAGTGTATGCATTTTATACACTATGGTTAGACACCATAAAAACTGAAAATCTACTCAAACAAACAATACATTGAGCATAACAATAATTGTCGAATGTTTTATGTTTTTAATAAAAGGAAATTCATTTTGTAGGAAGATCATTAATAAATAAACATATTTTTGAAGCCATAGTATATATACATATTATATATATTTTATTTTTAGTCAATTTATTAATTTAAACTTTTTTAAATTGTACCAAGCTCTAATTTTGCTAATTTTGGGTCTACAAGTTGATAGAACAAAATTACTCGGAAATTTTTTCCATAATTTTGATACTCAAAATAGGAGTTGCAGATTAAAAAAAACATAGTAAATTTAAGTGCTGGTCGAGTATTCAAATTTAGAAAATGGTAGAGTACTCGACTCTAAATATTTTTGTACTTGTTAATATAACTTAAATAGAGTACTGGTCTAGAAACCCGGCCATTTCAATTAAACACATACTAATAATTCTCCAAAAACTAAAAACCAAGTGAACAGCCAACCCTGACTTGATAATCATATTTTTTATAAAAAACTACACAAAATTGTATAGTAAAATCAATAATAATATATTTTACAAAGGAAAAAAGACCATATTTCATTATACTGAATTTTAAATGAGCATTTTCCAAAAAACCTTGTAATATACCTAAATATAATTTTACCAAATAACATATTACTAAATATATGTATATGATAATTATTAATCATCTATTGGTCAAAACAATTAACCTTTTAAGATTAATATTTAATTTAAGTTAACAATATAGCTATAAAGTACATATCAGTGTTCGGAAAGTTCACTAAAAAAATTAATTAGTTCACGTTCCGTCCTTAAAAAAGGAACTTGCTTATGTTCATGTTTTTTTCAAATGAATGAGTTCACGTTCATTGAAAAATAAATGTGCTCACTGAGTTGTTTATTTCATTTTCTTAAATTTTTAAATAGAAATTTTAATAAAAAAATATTATTATTATTATATAATATAATTAATCAATATATTTTTAACATATATTTAATAAATGGTAAATAGATTGAGCATCTTAAAAATCATTCAAATTCATTCAAATATAAACATCATTCATGTTCAATTTGAATCGACATACTGCACGCACATCGTTCACTAAATACAAACATGCGTTCATGAACAACGCTCTTTCAAAACACTGGTACATATTATATAATATAAAATTGATTCCTAGTTTTTAAATTGTTGCTTTTAGTTTTAAAAATATTTAACAATAAAAAAAATTATAGTACCAGTAATTTTAATATATATATATATATCAGTCTATAATATAAACAACTTTAAAAACATACCTCATCATCATCCTTTATACGTGAGTTAAGTAGTTTGTTGGCATGGCTTGAGGACAAGGTTGAATACTTTTTTTTAGGTAATTTCTTTAAAACTTTTTCCAATTGATCTAATTCAATTTTTTTTAAATGAAAAAACCAAATTATTTTATTTACCACGGCATCTAAAACAACATTTATAAAAATATTAATGATAAATAAGAAAAAGAAAAAAACTTTTTCTCACCTTTACTAAGCGGATTATAGAAATGCTTTTTGTTATCTTCATTCATATTTAATAAACACTGAATGCCAACAGCAGCTAAATGGTCAGTATAAATTATAATAAAAGGTTGTTTTTCTCCATAAAAAGCCATAATTTTCACAATATTGTCCATTTGTAAATCAATAGTTACTGGCTCACTTTCTAATAAAACACATAATATATATTTCTTAAGTACAAGTAAATTTTTTTCATTTTTTAAGATTAAGAATGAAGTGATTGAGATCACCTTTAACTAGATCTAAATTTTTAGTTGATTACTAATTAGGTACTTAATCAATAATTTAACTTTTATTCATAAAATAGTTACTAATTATTTATTTTAAATTACTATTTAATCCTTATTGAAATCTCAACTACAATTTAAGTAACATATTAGATTATATATTTTATATATTCTATTGATATTCTTTACTCTATGGCATGTCTAGTTAGCATTAGATACGAGGTTTATTTGAAGCGAGTTTGATTTAAATACCTATCTATTTAACTATAGAAGAATCATGAGTGTAAGCAAGTTTTATAAGCATGTAACCTAAATGTAATTTAAATTATAGCTTGCTTCCAAAATAAATTGGGCAGCCTTGCACTTTAAAAACAATTTGGTGGGTGTAATATGATATGGTAAAAGATGATTATAAGGACGCTACACAGGCATTTGTTGTCTCCGTTGTACAAGTGCATAACATAATAAATTTATGATCAGCGGTTTACAATCAGCTCAGCTTTATTGGTTTAAAAATTTGAGTGAATTGGCCTATAATGAAACTTGATGGTAAAAACATTATCTGTATTTGTAAGTGGGTTTTTTAGATACCTCATAATTCGCCTAAAAACTGAATTATAGTATAGAAGAACTCGCATACAAACACAGATAATGTAGCTATCATCAAGTTGCATACTCAATTGACTATAATTATTAAACAAAGATAAAAGTGAATCGCTGAGCGTAAATTTGGCATGTTATGCACCTTTAACATGGAGACATCTGTATAGCATCCACTTAAATTGTATTATTATTGGATACTAAACAAACAATGAAATAGGTATTTTTTCTGGAGCACAAACAACATAACACAAATGCATTAAAAATGAAAGAAATTAAGTTATTAATAACTAATTAAGTATCAACTCACCAAGATTACGTATCACCATACGTATTCCATGCAGACAAACTAACATATCACCGTTGCGTGCTGGAACCGTTTGGAAACTACCAATGTGTACAGAGTTACATTCTTCAATTTTAAAATAATCTTTAATACTCAAGTCTTTCTGCCATAATTTATCTTCCAAAAGTTTAGGATTCGCTAAAAAAAAAGGACTTATTATCATAAGGATATATTATATATATATATAAGAAGCATACAAGTTAATTTGTCTGTATATTTGTTTAAAGCTTCGGCTGTCTCAACTTTAGTAATATCAGGTTCCACAGAATCATCGTCTTCTTCTCCAGATGATAAAACTAACACATCTGATTCTTCATTCAGCGATACTGAATTTATGGAGCTCGAAGGAACATCAATAGGCTTTATAGGAGTAACAATTGGACCCTCAGGAACTATATTTGCTGAAGTACCTAATAGTAAAAGTAAATTGATTGTTTAATAGTTTTAAGTCCCTAGGAAAATAACTTACTAGGTGTTTCAATCCTTGTGACTGTAACATTTTTTAAATGAGAAGCCATACGACATGCTGCACAAACTTCATCTTCTGATACAACTTTGCACTTTATACACTTTTTTACATCTTTCACTGGTGACTGATGTGTTACTGTTGGTTTCACATTCTGCTGTTACATGTTTAATTAATTATCATTAAACATTTAATGAAATAATTTTAAAAAAAGACTTACACATAGATTAACCACTTTTTTAGGAGTTGATACTAGGGTTGATGTAGGGTGTTTTGATGACATGGGAAGCTGTTTATTGCTGAGTTTCTGTTTATTTGATGTTTGAATATGTTTTGCCGTAACCATATTATGTTTGAGAGAAGTATTATTGGATTGATTATTAGATACATGATGTTTTATATCAGTTTGCTTAATTGTGGAAGGCAGCATTTTTGAAGAGATATTTGATGATGCAGGTTGTTGTTTAGCGATATTTGATATTTTAATTGTTTGTTTAGACGGTGGTTGTTGATTTATTGTATGAATCTGTGATTTATTAATACTGACTTGATTGGATTGATTTTTTGAGTTGGAACTGATAAAATAAATTAGTTTTATCAAACAATTTAATCTTAAATCAACAAAATCATACTTTTGGTTATAAATATTGTAACTTACATATTATTGTGACTAGTTGGGCTTGTCTTAGTACTAGTTGCAGTGACACTTTTTGTTTCAGAAGACCTAAACATTAATAATTAATTAAAAATAACTGAAAAAAAAACGTATGAATACAAAAAATAATAATATATATTACCAATCAAATTTAGGGGGTTGTAAGACATCTGAATTTTGTTTTAGAGTTTCTAATTCTTCTTTACTAACTGTCTATATAGAAAAAAAAAATTAATAGTATTAAATAATTATGTTTAACCAAATTGAAATATAAATATACAGGAACCACAAATGGAAAGTGATGTAAATTTTATAACTTTGATACATGTCTTTACTGTCAATAAAATGTATGTTTAATATATTAAAATTCAAATCATAACTAAGCACAATTAATAAAATTTTGTTGTGATTAAATTTAAGTAAATATAATCAAGGTCACATGAAGTAAACTATTTATTACTAAACATAAATAAATAAATATTTTTTTCTCTATAATATACAGTGCATCCCATCTTGTATTAACCACTAAATATCTCAGCTGAATAACCTTATATTGAAAAGAAACACACATTTTGAGAAAATTTCAAATTTTTAACTAGTTTGATTTGTGAGTGAGTTTTTTGGAATAGCAACTCTTTTTTTCACTAGATAAGGATAAATATTTTTTTATAAGTCATTTTGATACATTGGTCATGGTCCTAATCCTAAAATTAACTGAGAAAAATTTGTTTGATTTTTCCAAAAACATTGCATATTTGTATTCAGTGATTTTTACATGGATTTGGAAATTTTTATTATGAAATAAAATGTATATTACTTTGTTATATATCATTTTTTTTTTTTAATTTAGCAGCAACAAAGAAAACAATGGGGGAATGTTGAACACATTATGAGATAAAAAATTAATTTGCATAAAAATAATATGCAATTAGGTAATTAAAAAAATAAAAAATAAAAATAATTTTCCATTTCATGTAAAAAATCACTGAACACAAATTAGCCACACAAATGTGTTATGGTAAAATTACCGCTGTAAAAAGAATATTCATCCAAATCTAATTACAAAAATAAAAACCGCTATTAAAAAAAAACACAAATTGTTATACACAAGCGCAAAACCAAAGTAGTAACAAATTTTAAATTTTAACATGGTATAATATTTTAAAATTATTATATAAATTATATACACTTTAACTTTTTTTGAATTAAATAACAGAAAAAAACAGATAATGTTCTTACATTTAAGTACCAATGTTATAGTTTGATTTTGTGTAGAATTACAAACAACAAAAGTAGAATAATATACACATCCATTATAAATAGATGAAATATTTTTGAAGTTATCACGGCCAGACCTAAGTGCAGTGTTTGGGTCGGTTACCACTTATGACATTACACAGTGCATGCACACTAGATGACATATCAATTAATAAAACAATAACTAATCAATTTTTAAATTTAGTTATGACTGTATAACAATGACACTAGCTCTATTTGTGAATATTAAAGTGAATGAGAATACAATACACCATACTAATGTAATGTATCAACAAGTCTAAGTGTTTGGTAGATTTAAATTTAGTGTCACAAAAAAATGTATGGTATTAAATGTCAATGATTATTGTGAATTAGTTATTTTCAGAAAAAAGTCAAGAATGATAAGAACTTAAATGATTTGTTTTAAACAAAAAGTATCTAAAAATATATAAAATTCAAATACTAAAAATTTATCTGGTAATTCTTGTTTTGCAATTATTGAGAATAAATAAATAATATAAATACAATTGTATTTATTCTATACACTAACCTTTTTCATGACCATACCCATAGCAATGAGAAGTTGATCCATCATCTCTGGTCTTGTAATCTCAAACATTTCATTTTTAGTCTGTATTCGAAGAATTTCCCTGTATAGAAGTCAAATTAGGAATATTATATAAAATAATTAAATTTTTGGCACACATTTTACAGTATTATATTCAAAATATCAGTTAACACTCAATAATCAATATCTATACTCTATTCAAGGTAAGAAAAACTGGCGGCAACCAGTTTTCGATGGTGATAGTCAGGCCACACTCGTTGGTCACCACCCCCAACAAGTCAACTATCTATCTAGTAGTGTTAGGTTAGGATACTATGCACAAGTCCAATACCGATTGTGTTTCTTAACTTGAACAAAGTTTAATTAAGTTCTATAAGGATTTCGAATATACTTGTTGCAAATGAAAACGGACATACAAATAAATATTTTATATTAGTTTATTGATAATGTTATTCATACTTGTACATTTAGTTAAAAATGTTATGCCTATTTAAGCTTTAAACTCTTAAGTTTGAATTCATTATAATAATTGATTTGTTATCTAAGTAGAACTGGTTTAAATTTACTTTGTACTGGTACAAATAATCAAAGGATATTTAGGATAAGCTAGAGTTTACAAGAGTTCTATAAGAATACACCGTAAATTAATATCATAGTATAAACTTAATAAAATAAATGTGAACTATACTCCGTCCAGTTAGAGAACTTGCCAGGGCCAAGTGAAAATCAGTTTATTTCCACAAATCACCCTGATCAGTTATTCCCACTGAGACTCAGTTACTTGGAGGGGAAAATCAGGCCTAGACAATAACTCAATCATAAGACAACATGCCGTGAACCAGCATGTTCACTTGCTGGACAGAGTGTAGATAAATAGTATTTAGATTACATTCCATAATAGGTAAGCCCATAACATAATTTTATTTTATACTTTTTATAAAAATTATGAAATTTGTTTAGTCTTCATTGATAAAACTTTCAAATTCAATTAAAAGGAAAAATAAATGTAAATAAAATATACCAATACAAGCAAATACCCTAATATGATGTTTTTTTTACTTATGGTATTCTATCAAAAAACTGTATGTTTTAGTTAAAACTATAATATAAAAACCACATAGTTTATATACCTTTTGATCGATTAAAAACATTTAGATGATAATAATTAATTAATAAAAATCTTTAAGTTTTAATATATTTACAAAAAAATATTTGTAATGAATTCAAAATTTATTACAACCAGTTAACAAGTTTTTAGATTTTTAATACCCAAAGTTTTGTATTTAAAAATATAAAGCAATTCAAAAATGGTTAGAACTTAAAATTACTAATAATAATTAGTAATATATATATTTACGTCCTATTTCACATAAAATAGAATAGATAATGGTTTAAAACTAGAGATATTGAGTGTATCCAAAAAAAGAGTGTAAAACCTACACATGTCTCCATTTTAATTAATAACAGAAGAAAACAAATTTTAGGTTCAGAATAATCCATTTTACTGTGTAGTTTCAAGTACGCTAAATATTAAAGTAATTTGACCTGCTATTAAATTTAAAGCTAAAAATATTATTTAGGGTGTCATGTCATTTTTTAAATTATTATTTTCATTTAAAAACATGATATGAACATTTTGGAATTGTAAATGTTTTTCAAGTTGTAAAATACTCATAAATTGTTTCAAAATTAAAATATCCATACAAAGCTTACTGAAGTTCTAAATAATATTCCTAATTTTAAATTGTATAATAGATATATATAAATTAAAAATAATAGAGTTCAACGGATTATGCCGAATGTAGAATTTGATTAGATGTGTTAATAAGATAGCGACATACATTCTTTTAACTTAAACATACTTATGCTGAGGCGCTACATGCACTAAGTGTTCATTAAACATGATTTAATAAAATATGAATGGTTCATTCAATTTTAGTTAAAATATTTAATTGATACACTTTTTATGTAACCTTTATACTATATGATTATTGTGTGAAATATAAACTAAATAATTAATGTTTACTGCATGCAATATAAATTAAAAAAAATTACTGGTTTGAGTTTGTAAATCCACTTTTATTGCCAATATCATCGAACTTGAACTGATTGTCCGTCATAAAGAAATACTTCTTTAAGATTCCATCCTCATTTTTATTAATATTTAAATGTGAAGAATCCTCCTTACAATTCAATTCTGGTTTTGGTAATTGTAGTTCTTCATTTGAAGACTGTACACAAGGGATCTCTTGAGAAGATCGAATAACAGCATTTGACGTTGAAGGGATACATGTCGCTGCATTAGTACTAGAAACTATTGTATCATTTTTCTTTATTTGATGATTTACAACTTGGTTTGATATAACAGGATTGTAATCTTTACGAGGCTTGGTCGGTTTAGTAATTGAGAGTCTAGGCTTTTTAATTGTCCTATAAATAAACACAAATTATTCATAAATATTATTGATTTATAAAATACATTAATTTTAGTTTTGTTTTAAAAATTACCGATTAGAAATTGGATATGATGCAGTTCTTTTAGAATTTTTTTGAGTTTCTTTACTATTAGGAGCCTAAAAATTTAAATATAATAAAACGCAACACTTAGTCAACCAAGTTTTTTAAATAATAATTTTATGTTTTTATTAGGTATACATAATTTTGGAAGAGTAATAAAATAAAAACTCACAGATTTGTCTGGCTCACAAGACAGAGGTACAATTGAAACTGGAGGTGATACTGGCACACCTAAATTATAAAATGTTCAACAATATAAATTTTAAATTTTTCAAAAGATAAATTCAAATAATTATAATAAAATAGTATCATACTCCATGGTGGTCGGCTGGCAGAAGCTATTGCAGGTTGTTTCACTAATGGTAAACTTGGAGTAATTGATATATTTGGGTTATTAAAAATCTGATGTGTAGGCAATATGAGTGTTCCAGTAATTCTAGTTAAAAACACAAAATTAAAATTAATATACAAAAATAAAGACAAAAACTAACCAAGCCTAAACATTTTTACTAACACTAAAAAAGAACAACCTGTACACATACTCTGTCCAGCAAGAGAATGCAATACGGACAGATCAAAATCAGTTTTTCTGCACATCCCCAAGCGACAACTTGCCATAGAAGAACATGTTTCAGGGTAACGCAGAGGGAGGAGCAGAATTTGTGAGTTCTCTCACTAGACAATAAATATTTATATATTTTTATAGCTCAGTCATAATAGTTTGAAAATTTTACCGTGTATGGAAATTGGTAATTTCAATATTTTATGAAAAATTCTAGTGTCTATAGTTAAGTAGAATTTTTTTCTTTACAAAAGAGAACATAGAAACTACTAATTAGATTCACCAAAATAACAAGGAAGTGTTAATTTCCAGATTCAGTCATTAAAAAAAAAAAAATTGCACAATTTCATTTCTTTTTTATTTTCCAAAAACTAGCTCCTATATTGTTTTCTTAATTTTACATAAAATATGTAGGCATTATCATTATGGCAAATAGATGTTTCATAGCTTTCAATTATTAAGATAGGACATTTGTTTTATATTTATTAAGTTTTTAAATTGCATTAATATACATTATACTGACATTTTACGTTTTAAAAAATTGATTTAAATTTAATGATTTAATTTCAAGGGAACCAAGTGTCTTTTCTTAATAATTGACAGAACATGGACAAAATGCCCATGAACTGATTTTTCGACGAGGATAAAACTTCAATATAAACTCAGTTTATATGAAAACAAAATATGAAGAAATAACTTTACTTTGTTTTTATTTTATTGTTACATGATTTTTTTAAACATAACATTTATGCAGTGGCAGCACATGAAATTAGATAGTTAAGACAGTTTCTTGGTAAGAATTAATATTTATGAATACCTGAATAAGTTTTACTAAGGTTACTAGGGTCCACTGTAGAATTAAAATGTAATTTTATACAATTTTAAATTATGACCACTTCTACAACCTATCATCAATTAAATTTGGGGATGTATTAAGTTTCACTCGTATTGATACCATTGATGTTTCACTCATACTCTAGTCTACAATGAGTATGCACTCCACAAAAAGCGCACTCTCATATATGGATTACATTTTAAGAGTAGAATTGTATAAACTAAATTGATATATATACCTACAGTGTCACCAGTCTAAGTCTTGAATGTAGGTACCACATAATATCTCAGTCGGACAATCTTAAATTTAAATGTTGTTTGTTGGGATAGCTAAGGAACTATCAAAATATAATTTTTGAGAAAATTTCCCAATTTTACCTCTTTTGGTACACATGGATTATAACTTGAGTTATTTAAATAACAACCAATTTTTTTACACTGGATTTGGATGAAAAATGTTTCATCATTTTTTTCAAAAAAATGATTTGCTAAAACCAAAATTGAGCGAGTTTCGGTTATATTAAATCTGCAAAATGAATAATTTAATACTTAATTGTTTAATAATAATTTTCATACTAACCTAAGGTTTAAGTCAATGGCAAAATTCAAAAAAATGTACCAGTTAAGACCTTACTAAATGGTAGATAACAAAAAAATATTGATGATCAAAGAACTATTTTGTGGTACTGCATGCTTGATATAAATATAAAAATCTGTCGTTGTGAAGCCCTCATATAAAATACAATATGTAACATAATCACACAATCAAAATTTCAAATTATTGTATATTTATGTGCAATAGTTAGTTAACATCTTAAAGTGCATCGAATAAATATTTCAAACTACAGTAGAATTCAATAGTTATAGTTTTTGAAAAATTAGAAAAAAGTTATGGGACAAAGATTATCCAGTGTCAAAATATTTTGTTATTTAAAAAATTAGTTATACTGCATGCATACCAAAAGAGTTAAAATAGGGAAATTTCCTCAAAAATTTTTTTTGATTGTTCCTCAACAATCACATAAAACGTCATTTAAATTCAAGGTTGTACAACTAAGATATTAAGACATATCCTTACAGCAGAATATACCTATACATTACATGTACATTGGAATATACAAGGGGAGGGGAGAGGGACAAAAATTGTTCATTACATTCAGTAAATTAAATTGTTCATAAAATGTTCATTAAAAAAATTCAATTTCAGATAAAATTTGATTGCAATTAATCAGGGAACGAATATAGGTAGGCATTAGTATTTCTATATTTTAAGTTAGAAAATATTTAAAAAGTAAGCTAAAAATGTGTTAAATACCAACATAGAAAAAAAAACATTTAAATTTGTATTTCCCTTTTTTAGTTGTTTTTGACATTGGTAATTTTGATATTTTCCATTAAATTTTTCAGGACAGGTATTTGAACATATTATATCTGCATAATCCAATAATATTAGGCAAATTGTATTCATTTATGATTTTGTAACCTATGTTTGAATAAGGAATAAAAACCAGTAGGAATTGTAATAAATTGAAAAACATCAAAAATATGACTGCATTTATTTAACAACTGACTTATAAATTATATAGGCATATTCTATCCATTACTTTTTCAATATTGACTTTATATCAACTTAAATTTGATCAGGTTTTATTTTTGCAACTCATTTTAAGTTACCAATTATTCACAAATTATTTCAAAGTAAATGCTGAGCGATGCCGAGGTAGATGCTAGGAATAAATCTATTCAAAGAACCAGTATGTACACTATGGAGAACTTGGTTCAATGTGGTTGTATACCTACTACTGCAAAAATATACTAGTTATTGGTATCTAGCATTGTTAGATTAGTTGGTGAGTATTGAAAAAGCCAACAGAAAATCAATTTTCTCTAATGACTATCCAAGTAAAGCTGATCTGTTAGCTGCATCAAAAGTGGTTGGACGTTGAAGGAATATTAAAAATATTCAGAAAACCAGGTAAAACTGTACATTTCAAGTTAAAAAGGTTTTAGAAAAAAAATATTGGCTTGTTTTAGTGAACAACAAATTATCTTATTTTACATTAAAACATTACTTTGATCTATGTGTGGGACAGTAAGAAAGGACCTAAAAGCTAATTTAACATTATTTTTTTCAGACGATCCTTCTATTAGAATCTATTTTATATTTAGTAAAAACCTAATAAATCCCAGAAACAACATCTGTATAATATATTATTGTCGCTCTTTGAAAGCAAAAATATATTCACGGTTGTAGATATTTATCAAAAAAAGTTTGGACACCTATTTTACCTACATACAAATATAAAAACAGTAAAATGTTGTGTGTGGATTTTGTTATTTTCATGGCATATTTAACAAATGGTATTATAAATATTTATGCATTTTGTATATTCATAAAAATCAGTTAACAATAATAATTTAAGACCATACATTACAATTAGACATTTACAATCATCTCTAAACATAAGAGATTAATTATAAATTATATTTTTTATGAATCATAAAAGAAAGAAAACACTAGGTACCAGGTAGCTAGGTAGCAGTTTATATCACATTATTATTATATTGCATTTAGGTATAGGTACTAATATTATTATCACCCATTTAATACAAATTAAAGATACCTTGTAAATAATAACAAGAAACAACAAAATGAAGTGACTCAAATTTCTGGAAAATAATATTATATTTTATAAAGCAAAGGTAAGTTATATAGATACTTACTTTTTGGTGTCTGGATCCATAATGGGTGTAAGTCGAATTCTAAAATAATTACTAGGATCAGCACCTAGCGGTAAGCGTGAATATTTCTTCGTATACTCTTCCAATGGTAGTTGATATTTTGCAGTAGGGAACAACTTAATAAGTTGAAATATATCACACTTCAGCTGTGGATTCGAATCGCCACCTCCAGTCAGGCCCACCGAGAACATTGTAAATAATTGTTACCAAAATTGTTGATAGCACTTTTGACAACTGAAAATGAGCAAAATGAAAACCTCGCATGAGTCACACAACAAAAACAACAATAACAACAACGGGAACAGCAGTAAATACAATAACAATGTGTATACAATCACGAAGCGGTTTGCAACTGTCTGTTTACCTTTAAGATCAAGTCCGGTGCTGCTCATATTACGTGTTGACGCATGTCCGACACGACGGACGATTCACATAATTAAGGGCGCATACTACACGATGGGGTAACACAACGGAGATTCAAAATAGGGAACTTTGCTAACAACGGTGAATGCGTAAGTGGTCATCAGCATCGGCTGCTGCTGAAACGTGCGAGTCTTCCGGCTATGTCAGGGCACCATGAAAGCGATCGAAATTACGAAGGTAAAAGCAACAACAGAAGAAAATACTTTTACCAGCAGCCGCCAAATACCAAAATGCGGAAAAATAATAATAATAATTTTATTACTAAACTTATGGTGGCGTCGGCGGTAGGGGCGTACAATGGTGGACTACTGTGAACTGTATACCGACAACAACGGACGGAGTGACAACAGTGTGTTTCTGCGCCAGTGTCGACTATTGGAGAACGCGAACGGCGCCGAATCTGTATTTTTGGTTAGGGGGGCGGGCCGTAATACCGTATGGAGGTAGAACTAGCGCGTCTGTTATCTGTTATCACGCCGTAATCGCAGACGTTGGTGGCATTGCATGAGTGTCGAGATACACGGTTCGGTTTTTTCGTCACCGTACCGACTACCGGCTAAGTGCCACCAACTACCAACGATACAATATTTATTAATTAATAATATTTGTTCTTTACCAATTACTGAGTAGTCATCAGTAATTACCAGGGCTCGGGACTTATAGCACTTAAAATCATTCAAATAAGCGCTTAAAAAAGCGTTAAAAAACATCATTATAATAAGCACTCAAATAAGCTTAAAAAATTTAAATTCAACAAAAATAAAAACTAAAAAATCAAAAAATAAATAAATCTTTATCTTTATATTACAAAAAAAAATGAAACTTCACTTTCGGGATTTTATGGACTTTCTGAAAAATAAAATGTAAACAATATTTACAAATAATTGAAAAATAATTAATTAATTAATTAAATACGCGGCAACGTAGATAAGATAAGAATTATTTATAATTTTAATTCTATCAAAAACAACTTTGCAGGAGAAAACTATATAAAACTAGAAAAACTGATCGAAAAAGCAAAAGTAATCATAAAAACTGGAAATTAGCATTTTTTTTTTTAAATCGCTGAAAAAAAGCAAAAAAAAGCACTTTCAAATATCATATTGAACGTGTTGTAACATGACACACTTCCATAGCGATCTGCTACTAAAAGTCAATCCATAAAAATAAGCAAATACTTTAAGTCCCGAACCCTGGTAATTACTAATTACTAATTAGTGTATCCGAATACGATTTTGTAATAAATTGTACGCTGTTTGAGCCTGTTTACTTGTGTAGTTGTGTCTTTTACTTAAGAAGACGTTTCGCCCCTTGAGAAATATGCCGTAAAAACACATTTTCCTAATTCCAATTACAAGGCTTATTGGAGGGTTTTATGTACGATTTGTTTGTGGTAAAATGTTTAGCAAAAACGCAACAAAAATCAAATATTGGGAAAACGCGTTACTTATTAACAATTACAGAAATCAATACATTTAAAATTAGTGCATAGCAAGTGTATAGTGCAAAATGGTATTATACAGAACCGGCAACAACAGTTCGATACCAATATGCGATTTACTATAGTAACTAAATACTAGTGGTACATTATTAAAATTATTGTTATTTGTTTGGTAGACTAAGTGGGTATTATAGTCTGAAAATATTAAACATGTGGTTATTAACTCATAACTATTAAATTAAATGTAAGCGGGGATAGGAGATCCGAGGAATGGACAAGGTATACAGGTATTTAAGATTATAAAAAGTTTTCCGTTAAATTGTTAGTATTTGTGGTTGTTATTTGAACGATGGCCACTGGGGATTAAACATTATTTTACCATTAACTTTTATACAGTTATGAAAGTATGGAATACATGAACATTATTTATTAATACAAAAACCCTATTTTATAAAAAGTTTTACTAATTAAATTATTTTTTTGTTTGTACAATATTATCACATATTGTATAAATATATTTATTAATTGTAATTATTTCAGTTCCTATTCTAATAAAGTACCTAATTGTACAATGTTTAAGAAATACATAATATACTTAAAACATATTGATTAGGTATACGGTATACTTACTTAAGTTATAAAAAATAACTTAACAAATTATACAAATACTATATTAAAAAAAAATACATTAGTATGCAAGTACTAAGTATATAAGTTATAATATGTTCTTTAAATATCGGGGACATGGATCTATCCATAGTATATGATCATAGATATAAGGTACCTGGTACCACGCAGTCTTACGACTAGGAATATTTATATTTAATATTAATTTGGTTGTTGAATGTTGTGGTGGTGATTATAATATATTAATGCATTATAATTTATTTTTATTACAAATGTTTTTTTTAATCTTATGCTATTGAATGTATTTTATTTTCTATAGACAAACATTATACTTCTTATTAGTTAATATAGGGTAATTCAAATATTGAAATAAGGTCAGAGACAAAATTTGAGTTTTAAATTTGGGGAGAGGACTAAATTTTTTTAAATCAAATTCTTGAGGTTAACGACAAGTTGTTTTGAAATTGGAATTTTTTATTTTTCCTATTTCGTCAACAAATGAGAAAAGGTCATTATTATTTATGAATATTAAAATTTGGCCACTACATCAAACTAAATTATGGGCCAGAAGAAAAATATTTTAAGCGCTGAGACTACCCAATCCGGTCCTGGTAGAGAGCCTTAATAATATATTATTATCTAGGCTCTCTAGTATAAGGTTACCAAACCTAATGGTATTACCAAACCGCAGTACTTAATATCCGGTAAGCACTTGACGTAGCGTTATGTATAGTAGTATTAGTAGTAATAATTGAATCACAATGTAATACGGACAAGCAAGTGATGTATGCGAGGACTTGACCAAATCTGGAATTTTACGATCATACCATGTTGCTTATAAGTTATAACATGATTGGACTACTGAGGGTGCAGCGCTTACACAACATTAGAGAAAATAAATTTGTTTAATTTATTTATATGTTTGTGGTGGATCTAATTAATGTATATTTTGAGTCAATATTTTTAATTTGGTATTAGTGGTATTACTGCGATCCCAAAACGAAAAATACATTGACAATGGCGCAATCGTCAATACGTCAACTCACAAGGCGGAATTTTTTGTAATTTTGTAATATTTTTGATACATTTTAAACAGTCGTTTCCAGATAGAATGTCACGGCGGCGCGATAACGAAAAGCCAGTGGTTCTCCTTATATGATAATAGTGGCGTGAATTAGAAAAATTTCCAACAGTTTGGTTATAATAATAGTATATTATTATACCATAATAATTATTAATTGCCATGCCATATCACATTAATCTATTAATACTGTCATTTTCAGAGGCCGAGGTAGTTTATTTTATACATTTATGATAAACAACTTGGTGAGGCACACCGAACGGCCAAGAGCTTATTAAAAACACGTCGCAACTAGTTTGAGGTGTACCTACTGAAAAGCGTCGCCGCTAGTCAATCTATCTGGCAACGACTGTACTAGACTTTTACTATTGTTCTATGCTTTTACTGTAATAAAAACTGCTTTAAGTTTTATCAGTTATCAGTTATCACTGTGATGTATATACAGTATATACAGACTACAGAGTAAATTCAATTGTCATACGAAATAAACACGACTACACCAACACGAGTATTACACTATTACGCGATATCGTAGATTCGTAGATAGGAGTTAGCATGTAGGTAAGAAGTAATATCCAATGTTGTATTACAGATTATATTGAAATGAGTGGTCGTATAAGTATTAGGTAGTGTATTATTATTATAGTGAATATGTACTTCTAGTAAACAATAATGTATTTTTTTTTGATCTAGTTGTTTTTCAAATAATCACTTATTTTAACGAACACCTAATTTATAATCAAAAATCAAATTTTGCAATATCCAAAATATTATCTGATAAGCCGTGGTTCATACTTTCACAGTCATAGAACATTATATTTAGTACCAAACCACTATTAAATATATACCTTTAATCATAAGGTACTATAAAGGTCATCTATAGTGCTCTGTAGTCTATAAACTATACTACTATAGCCGTAGGTCTACGACTATTAAATACTACATGGACTAAGATATATCTTAGTCCGTGAGTATAACATATTACTACATTAACTCTGTAGGTAGTCAAACAACTTAAAATAAAAATGAAAACAAGATAAAATAATTTTTTTATGATTATGATTTACCTATGTGTGTATTGTATTTCTTGTTGTACCTACTTTATATTTTTATCCAAGTACTTAAGTGAACGAACATGACCACATTAAAAACTAAATCAAATTGTGATCATGTCACACCATAGTATATCATGCCTACCACATAAGGTTAAAACCATAAAGGTTTAAATGGATAATAATTTGATTAATTTTAGAATATTTACAAACAAGGTGGATTTATAAACACAGGAGCAATCTCCGATAGATATGTAATAAATTATACTTTTATCATCTCAGTGAATTCAAATTTGAAAATTGGTTTTGCCATATATGTAAACACTGTGTTCATATTTAACATGGGGACCATGGTTATTACCATGGTTGTAAGCACTTACTACTGATTTTTTGGACACCCTTAACTCCATATTAACACACATAATTATTATCTAAATTTATTTTTCAAATATTTTTTCCTCAGTCCACACATTTCCAAATAGAATTTTAAAAAGATTTAGGACAAAATTTTAATGCATTTTTTATCCTTCATTTCAGTTCTATGTTTTGTACATGTAATATAATATTACTTTATAAAAAAATTTAAATTATGCATTTATTCCCCATGCTTGTATTTCGTATGATATTTTTATGATTGCTCTAGTTTCACATTGTCTAGAGTCCAAGTCCTAGGGTCAGTCTTAAAAATAAACAGTATGAAAGACTTTTTAAATTTATATGATATATTATATTTAATTTTGATACCTACCTAAATCATTAGGTAGATAACTAAACACAAGTTTATTGAAATTTAATACATTTTCCTCACTCTTCGATTATCTACATTTTCTATTTAAATTTTAGAAACTACCTTATTTGATGTTACTGTTATTGTAATAGGTCAATATAATTTAATAAACGTAAAACATAATATTATAATGTAGTGTTACTACTTACTTCTAACCAACCGCCCAGGTAATATATATGTATATATACTGGTTATATATTTGTATACATCATTAATGATACATAAAAATATAAATTTTTATCTATCGAAAAATTTAAACTTAATTTATTTTCAAATTAACAGTCTGAATGATAACTTGTATATAACTATACAATTATTTTGTTGAGAAAAAACGTATTAAAACATATTTAAAACTAGTAAGTATTTATATAC